AGTGGTTGTTGGAGCATTTTAAACGTGGAATTTTTTTTGTTAGAGTTATGATTGATATCAAGACCTATGTAAACTATAGGTATGTCGTTGTCAAGGATTTTGAGGTAGAGTTGTAATGAGTTCAAGAGAAGTTTGCTTATCGACATCGAGTGGTTTCCTAATTTAAGTACAAAAGGAAATTTGTATTAATTAAAGGAGCCACGTTCACCATATGCCTTATAGTGAGTACATCGAAAATCTCGTATAATTTAAATATTGTCATATTTAACTAGAAAGTAGAAGGGCTCGAACATTTTAAACATTTTAAACATATAAAATTAAAATAGATTAGAAATAAATCTATTACAATATTTAATTAAGACCATTTTAAGATCTAACAACAACAAACAAAAAAAAAAAAAAAAACTTTATAAATTAAATTAAATTGGGTCCCACGTTAAAAAGAAAATAGGGGTTGGTTAATGGTTAGGTGGTGAGGATATGTATATAAGATTTTTAAAATAAAATGATTTTTAAAATAAAATTAAGTATTCATAGTGATGAGAAAGAGAGGGGGGCTGTTTGGGGAATTGGAAAAGCTATACCTATCATGAATAGTGATAGCGAGTTCGCCAGCTTAATAAAAAGGGGTCTGTTTGTGTGTCGGTTATCCCTAAAACTGTCGCGACAGCTCAGCTTTGCCACTAGCCGACATTTCCCAAGCCCCAAACACAACATAAAACCCTCTTTTTTTTTCCTTCATCATTTTTTTTATTATTAATTACATCATTTTATCATTCTACTTGCTACTCTCTTATCTTCTATTTTTCTTAATTTCATTTTCATTTCAATAAATACTTTACCATTTCTGGACGTGGAAATGAGTAATATCTCACGTGGACCCAAAAGGAGGTGTATTGTGAGATTCCACATCAATTGGAGAGAGGAGAGAGTGGCAACGAGAATGTTGGGCTCCAAAAAGAAGTGAATTGTGAGATCACATATCGATTCGAGAGAGGAACAAATCATTTTTTGGTAAGAGTGTGGAAATCTCGCTCCGAAGGGAGTGAATTGTGAGATCTCATATTGATTGAAGAGGGGTACAAAACATTTTTTATAAGAGTGGAAATCTCTCCATAGTAGATGCGTTTTAAAAATCTTAAGGGGAAGTCCGAATAAGACAATATTTGCTACTGGTGGGTTTAATTGTTACAAAACCTCTCCTTAGTAGACACGTTTTAAAACCGTGAGACTAATAGCGATATATAACGGACCAAAGTGGACAATATCTAAAATGGTAGGCTTGGGCAGCAAACAATATCTACTAATGATAGACTTAAACAGTAGACAATATTTACTAGCCGTAAACTTTAGCTCACAGTAACGTAGTTAGAAGGAAACACAATCTAAGATAAGACGTGGGAGACAAAGAAGCAAAGTGGGGAGTGGCGTGTAAATTAGGAGCATAACACAAGGCTGAATGCTACAATTTTCAAAAACAACACCCCAAAAATCCTGCCTTAACATATGCCTCATTCTCCACACTCAAACTAACGCCACTTCCTTTGACCATCAACATCATATATCACTCCCTTTTATATCACCCTTTTTTCAACTTCTGCCAACTTCATTTTCAAACAAACTTTGGCTAATTGGTCACTTTATTTTAAATTAAATGTAAATATTAATTTTTTTTTTATAAAATTACATAATAATAAATAATGTTAAAAGTTTGGTGGAAATGAAAATAAATTCTTTTGGACTATGAATAGGTTGGATTTTTTTAAAGATTTTTGTCATTTCCATATTTGACTTTATATATATATATATAGATATATACACACCAAATGTGTTTAAACGCCACAAATCATGATTTATTTATTTTTTTTCTAATTTCAATAAGTAATGAATATCTAAACAATAAAAAAAAAAGAAAAAAAAAAGGAAAATGCACCGAATTTTTATTACATGACAAAATAAAATAATGCACTTTTAAATATATATATATATATATTTTTAATATCAGAAGTTTCTATGATTGAGCTATCAAGAAGGAAAATGCACTTTATTGGTATAGATAGTAACTTTCATTTCGTTTAAGGTATTTTTTAGTAATCTTATCTTCCGTATCACTATTGATGTGAAAATAATATATTTTAGAAGATGTATTTACAAAAATAGTGTAATTCAAATATAGTATAAAATATCATTAAAATGCTATATTTGTAAAAACAAAATATATAATTGTATAATGTTTTTTCAAAGTACACATGAAATTTCTATATTTTAGCATAATTAATAATTTGTTATATAGTTAGTTTAATTTAATTTTTTCATAATACTCTTTTTATAGGTGAAATTTTGAGTTATCTAAATTAATTAAACTATAGTCTAGTGTACAGAAAATGAGTAAAAAATAAAATAGAAAATAAAAAGAGAAACGGTGGGTCCCACTGCATAATATTAATATTTTATGAATTTTTATTTCTTTATTGGGAAGATGAACTAAAGCTACGGTACCCACCGCGCCTCCTCATCTTTCCGTTTCACATTTTTGGATAAATCATATTAACATTAAAAACAAAACCAATCAGAATTTAATATAATTTACTCCCATTAAAAAACCTTCCAAATAATCAAATATTGCTAAATTATATATATATATATATATATATATATAAATACCTCGAACTTTTGTATTTTATTTTCAATGTTTTAATAATATATTTCAATTAAAGAATGTTCTATTAGTTTGGGAGGTAAATTGTAATCTATTAATACTTCATTTAACATTTTTTAAAAATTATTTTGAGTTAGGATTTTTATTTTTATTTTTTTGAAAATATAGATGCCTAAATATTTTTCGTATAAATACTCTTATTTTTTCTCATCTATATTCAACTTAAATTTTTAAATACCCGTATTTTTCTTTTTTTTGTCGTCTTCAAAACTAGAAATAAAATTATCAATGTATTTAAATTTTAGCATATTAAACTCAATCGTATTAGCCAAACATTCGAGTCTTAAAGTCTATTTGTGTTCTATTATTATTATTATTTTATTTTTTTTATGCCTATTTACCTGACGGGATAGTTTTAAAATATTGATGAATAAAATTAATAAATATATATATATATATATATATATATATATATATATATATATATATATATATATATATATATAT